GGATAAACATACTAACTTTTGACTTTAATTTGGATGCTTAAGTCTATGGGTAATCCCTAAAAACAGAAACCAAGTATATAACGTCCAAGCTAGTAAAGAGGAAAAATGAAATAAGGGGCAAAAGTGGTTTAAACAAAAAGAAGGCAATTTTTTTTTTAATTTTAAAAAGAAACAAAGAAATGTTGGAAAAGTGGAAAAATAAAAAACAGAAAATAAACTTCAAGGCATTTCTAAATGTATATAAAGATGTTCACAGCGTATTGTTAAAAGGTATCAGGAAATAGACGGAAACTGGCATAAACTTCAGTATAAAGTAAACATTGTCGGGACTTAAAGGAGAAATTGGAAAATTTTACCATATTCAGGACAGATTTTTAATATACCTCTTTCAGTAATTGATCAAGCAGACAGTTCGTAAGAATTTAGCTGATTAGAACCACACAATTGATAAGATTGTCCTAATGGACTTATTAAAATTTAATTCAACAACTAAATTTAATTCTACTCAAGCACACAGGTAACACTTACGAAAACTGACTATGTATGAAGCCATTCCAGAGATCTTAAAATATCATACAGATCCCATTCTTTCGAGCAACACAACTGAGTTAGGATTTGTGTTAAAAATGTATTTTATTGGGGCACCTGAGTGGCTCAGTCTAGTAAGCGTCTGATTTGATTTCAGCTACGGTCATGATCTCAGGGTCGTGGGATCGAGCGTCAGTCTCTGTGCTGGATGTGGATCTTGGCTGAGACTCTCTCTCCCTCTGCCCCTCCCCGCCACTCATGCTTTCTCTCTCTAAATAAATAAATAAAATCTTTAAACAAATGTATTTTATTATAAGTAGCATCGTGTCTTTAAGCATTGTTTTTTTAATTTTATTTATTTATTTGTCAGAGAGAGAGAGAGAGAGAGAGAGAGCAAGCACAAGCAGGGGGAGAAGCAGAGGGAGAAGCAGGCTCCCCGCTGAGCAGGGAGCCCGATGTGGGACTCGATCCCAGGACCCTGGGATCATGACCTGAGCCGAAGGCAGACACTTAACTGACTGAGCCACCCAAGCATCCCCTTTAAGCATGTTTTAACCTGTTAGTGGTTATTTTTATGGCTGATATGACCATGGATCTGAGGCAGCTAATGTCCTTCATTTCAAGACAAATTTCAGTTTCTGTTTGGAGGACAAGGGACAGTTTTGTAAGTATTTCACTCGAGAGCCTTCTCGAGCTCAGTGTTCTATCAGCCATGGAAGGAAATTCTGCCCCACCTCTGACACTGGGGCTTCTGCTGTTGTTACTAACTCCTAGCGCCTTGACCCCACTCAAAGCTGTAGACTAATGGCTATTATAACAAAATAAAATAAAATAAAATAACAAGTGTTGATGAGGAGGCAGAGAAATTAGACCCTTTGTACCTTGCTGGTGGGAACAGGGAAATGGTGCAGTCACTGTGGGAAACTGATATACGGTGATTCCTCAAACATTTAAACATGGCATTACCATATGGTCCAGCGATTCCACGTCTGGGCGTACACCCAAAAGAAGTGAAAGCAGGGCCTCAAATAGATATGGCTGCACCATGTTCATAGCAGTATCATTCACAAGAGCCAGCAGGTGGAAGCCTGCATAAATGGATGGACAGAGGAATGCATACACAAAACGTGGTCCATCCACACAATGGAATATTATGCGGTCTTAAAGAGGAAGGGGGTTCGGACACCTGCTACAACATGGATGAACCTTAAAGACAGCATGCTAAATGAAATAAGCCAGTCATAAAAGGACAAATATCATATTATTCCATTTCTGTGGGGCACCTAAAGTAGTGAGAATCAGAGAGAGAAATAGAATGGTGGTTGACAGAGGCTGGAGGGGGGAACGGGGATGGAGGGGGTCAGGGTTTCATGGGTATAGAGTCTATGTGGAGAGTTTAAAAAGCTCTGGATACGGATGGCAGTGACGGTTACAGGACAGTGTGGGTGTACTACATGCGAGACTACTACTACTGTATACTTAAAACAGGTTAAAGTGGTAAATTTTAGATTATGTCTGTTTTACTACAATAATTAAAAAAACATGTAAAAACTGCTGTGTCTGTATCCAGGAATAGTCTGCCACTGTTCCTGGGGTGTTGATATAATAATCAATCTTAATACTTGGAGAGAAGCCAACTCTGTTATCCCTTTCCAAAGCTGCTCTTGCTATGGCGTAGAGGTCAAAGCGAGAATATTATCTGGGGATGCGTTACATTTGTGTAGCACTTCATGTTTGAAGAAAGATTTTTATGTGTCCTAACCCATTAATCCTTGTGACAGGCTTATAAGGGAAGTAGTCCTGGTCCCTTTTAATTGATGTACGAAGGGGAGGCCCGAGAGACTAAGTTGTCCAGGACCACTGGGCTGTGAGGATGCCCAGGTTCAAGTACTTACCTTCCGACTAAAGCTCCTGATCTCCCAGTGCACAGAAATAGTTGTCGACTTACCGTGAACTTCCATTTGATATGCCAAAAGCTAAGTGCTGGACTTGTTAAACTGAATAAAGAAGAGAAGAAGAAAGATGACATTATTACTACCTTCCCAGTGACCAAAGAATACTGATTATACTGACTCGATGCTCTGAATCCTGTTAACACATTTGTGGCTCTTTACCGTGCTCTATTTCCAAACCTGAGTCACGTTTAAAGTCGGGTTGGCTGTTTGTATTTTTGGACGTTAGCTTCTAAAAATACCCTTTAATTTGGCGGGGGGGGGGGGCAGAGGGAGCTTTTCCTTAAAACTCATGGTTTCGGGTTGCAGCGATTCAAATTTTAATCTAAATTCTGGAAAATTTTTGTCTGATTCCAATAAAAACAAGCAGCCAGGTTGTTCTCTCATTGTCATGTGAGAACGGTTTCATTTGGGGTCTTAAATTTCCTTTTTTTACTGTTCTTCTTGGAGTGGATGGCTAACGTAAAGGGAGAGAGCTGGCGAGGCACCATCACTACCCTCAGTAATGTTACGAGCCACCACCGCACCCTCCCCACCCCCCACCCCGGCCCCGGGCGAGCAAATGGCTGGGTCAGTGCCACCTTCAGATTCTCAGCATGTGGCGAGCATTCACTTTCCTTGGAAGCCTGCCATTGATAAGCCAGCTCAGAACCCAACTCTATGCTTCAGAAGGTCGACCCAGTAGCTTTCCCTGTCTTTGGGAAGATTTGGTACCTAACGGAAGGGGGGTGGGGTTGACACCCCCTTGTTGGGAGCAAGCCTACCTTAATCTATTAACTGGGAACCAAAAGAACACTCCCTGGGGCGAGGTAGGCGACAAGATTTTTTTTTTTTTTTAAGATTTTATTTTGAAGTAATCTCTATACCCGATGTGGGGCTCGAACTTACAGCCCCCGAGGTCGAGAGTCACATGCTCTACGGACCTTACACCGTGTCATGTGGGCAACACCGCGGGACCTTTTTTTTGGTCTATATCTGGTGTATTGCTTCTGTTTTCATAGCTCACATTGATGCAGCCCGGCTTGGTGCCAGAAATTGTGCCAAGCGCTTCGCGGGCATCAGGTTCTATAATCCCCACCACAGACCTGAGGGATAAGGTACTAAGATTCTGATGTTAGAGAAAACGAAACAAAACAAAAACGCCAAAATGGAAAGAGGGCAGGTGGACATATAGCAAGTAAGTGGCTCAACGTTGTGCCACGGGTTTTTTTTTTTTTGTAAAACTGTTCAAACAAACCTGCCCCAAATAGATCATTGTCTTACGCTTGACAGTCCAAAATTAGAATTTCCAGAATCAGGCTTGCCAACCCCTGTCAGGACCTTATGTACTTCAATATTCTCTTCTTTCAGTAAGGTGGGGGAAAGCACCAACCGTCTTATTATGTCATGCATTTAATTTGTTTTTAAGATTTTATTTATTTATTTATTAGAGAGAGAGATCATGAGCAGGGGGGAGGGGTAAGGGAGACGCTGACTCCCCACTGAGCAGGGAGCCCGACGAGGGGCTCGAACCCAGGACCCTGGGATCATGACCTGAGCCCAAGGCAGACACTTAACCAACTGAGCCACCCAGGCGTCCCTATTTCATGCATTTTAGATCTATGATTGTTTTCCCTCAACTTTCCCTTCTACATGATTTGAAATTGTAATAACAGGCAAACTCTTAACATTCCTGCCAACACTGTGTTTTGTAATGCCTCGGTCACTTTGCTTTCAACTTAAAACTTCATCTGATTTCCTGTATTCCACGAAAGAGTGAAAGGTACAAAGCTGACGTGCATTATTTGAAATTGTGAAAATACAGCAAAAACAAAAACAAAAAACCTCAATGGCAAACAAAAATGGAAAGTAGTTCCATGTGATGAATCACTCTTAATGCTGCTTCAAAGATAAAGAATATTATGAAGTCAAGCCCATTTTTTTTTATTTTTTTAAAGATTGTATTTATTTATTTGAGAGAGAGAATGAGAGAGAGAGAAGTCAAGCCCATTTTTAGAGAGAAGCTTGATTTTTTTTTTGAACGTGGTAAAGATATTTTATTCTGGCATTAATATAATTTCAACAAAATATTTTGCAATCCGTTTAACAAAAAATGAGTCAGTGTTTACTGAACATCTACTTTGTTCCCAGAATTTAAGGAGAGTATAAGCTATATATAAGAAACAGCTCCTGCCCTGGAGAACTTATAATTTAGTGGATGAGAGAAGATGAACACACAAATCAATTGGATTTTACCCAAGGCAGAAATTCCTAGGTGTTCTTCTTCCCCTTCCTTCTAGTTCTTTAGCGAGAGCTAAAGACTTGTTCTCCGAAATACACTGTGACTCTGTCCTCCTCTTCAGAGAAGCTTGATTTTGAATTTCAGAGTTAGCCTAATTGGGTGGTCCAAGATTAGAGTCCGTTTGCCCTCTATTTATTGTCTGGTTATTGTGATTCCTTCTTAAAGCTGGCTTGAAATGTTGGCAGATGCTTCGCTCTAACCTGCTTCAGGATGTGTGCTTGTGTTCCTCATCACACCAGAGTCGTCCGAAATCGGGCCTTCCCTTGTGGTTCACACCACTGTCCCATTTGGAGTCAGCCACTTGGAGCACAGCACCGAGGCTGTGCAGGAGCTAATCTTCCAGCATCTGGAAGGCATCTTGCCAGGCCTGCCGCGACCAGTTGCGACCATATGCCAGAAATGGAGACATTCTCAGGTAAGCAAAGAATATGCGGGTGAGGACGCGATTTTCTTCATCAGAATTGACTGAGTCAGCAGAATGGACTCCCTTTTTCTCATCTCTTCCACTCCGTAGTTCAAGAAACGAACGATGTGATCTCTGGAGCAAATATTTGTTTGCCTCATGTGTAACCGTAAACTTCGACAGGTCTCATTAGCCCGTTATTTCTCGATGAGAGCTGCGTACAGTTTTCCCCAAAATCTAGCATCTCGAGACCTACACACCCTGAAAAGCTGGGGTTTCCTATGCAGGCAAGGCCGGTTATATATCATAGTACAGCTGTTTCTCTGGGGTTTTTCTAAATCAGGACTGTGGTTACATAGAAACCACTTTAACCTCCCCAGTTTTTTGCAGTATGTCAAATTAACCTTGTAAGTGTATTTTGCTACCACAATTTTCATTTTTATTAAGTTCCCACTTTGGTTTTGACTGCCGCCAGCAAAGCTCCTTGGGGGGACAAAGGTGAATACCTGTATAATTCAGCTACTTGAGTTGTTTTTCTGGGTTAGATAAACCTGCTGATCGCTCTGCTAGCTCAGACTTCAGGCTCCTTGCACTAAGTAAATGTTGACTTTTCCGAAAATCTCTGCATATTCCAACGGAAGTTTGCGAGTATTTGTAGAAGAAGTCTTTTGATCTGTAAACTCAGTTGTAAAGCCGTTTGGGGACAGTTGGGGCAAAGGGCAGAGGAGAAAAGCAGCAGTGACTATTTTCCCCCAAGATCTCTGAGCCCATGGATTAACCGATTTATCCGCGCTGCTGGTTACCCAACTTGGGAAACCCTTAGGAAAAAATGGTATTGTGAGAAGTTGCAGCAGATTTTGTATATTTTACATGCAGGGCTTTCCAAAAATCAGAGGAAATGGTAAATTACTTTCTAAAATACTGCAGCATGCCTGTGTGTTTACCCGTGTCTTCCCAAGTTCAATTTTACAGGGAACTTTGGGGAAAATATTTACTTAAACGTATCATGGTCACTTTAGAAGACTTTACTTTTTCCTTTTAAAAGCATTGAAAAAATCTCAATAGCTAATGTCTTTATGTGCTACTAACTCAATTTTAGGTTGGTTTTAAAAAGAAGACAAGGAAATCAACTTGTTGCTGTAATTTGAAGCTAGATGTATTACACGGCAAGTCCTTTTGCAATTTATAAATATTCCTTTAAAAGGAACAATAGTTTGTGAGTTTCTTCTGGTGACTTCCGCAAAATAATTTAATAAGCTGAAAAGATGGGTTAAAATCAACTTATTTCTTCAAACTTAAAATGTGTTAATAGAAATAGATTTGCCCCAACCACAAAATGACCTACTCAAAGTTTGTGCAATATCACAAAATTTAATAAAAAAATATTTGAACACAAAGTACATCCAAACCCTAGCCATGATTTTTATTACAATTTGGATGTTCTCTTTTGAAATTAACCCAGTGCATTTACAGCTCTGTTGTCACAAAATCTACATTGGCTGCAAAGTCGAAAAGGGAGTAAGTTGTTTCATTAAAACTTAGAAGTTTGCATTTTCCAGTATCCATACCCTTCTCCTAGTACCTTGAGCATCACCCTACAGAATATAACATTGCCATTTATGGCAGAGATCTTGCCTACATTGTGAGATAGATGACGGTGATGATAGATAGATGATAGGTAGATGATAGATAGATAATGGATGGATAGATAGATAGATAGATAGATAGATGATAGATAGATAATCTCCCATATCACCTCAGAAAAAGGAATAAGGAATGACAGATCCAGAGACATAATAGGATTTAACTAGTTTTCGGTTATTATTCCCAAGAGAACATTTCGCCGGTGCTTTTCAGAGGTCCATTGTAGCCTTTGAAATTTGACATAAATAAATGTGTGCCCCCCTCTTCCCTTGCCATCCCGGAACACATGCTCTACCTTCAGTAAGCTCATTGATGCACGTGTGTGAATATGGTCTACTACGTGCATAGACTGAAGGGAAGGATTGTGTAGGAACAGGAACAGAAAAGAAAGAGGAACCACCCTTTGGTTTTGAACTTCCATTCATTTCTGAGCAGAGGTGCAGTCCCCATACTGGGGAAATCCCAGCCATGTCTTCTAGTCTGGGTCCCACCCTATGTTCCTTTTATTTTCCTCCTCCCCCTCTCCTGTTCCACCCCAAATGTCTCCTATTCTTCACACTTCCCCCTCTTTCTGACAAAATAAATGATAGAGCCCTTCAAACCCTCATTTTATGAAATCCTCGGGAGACCACAGAACTGGCGTCCCGCACCCCAGGCAGCAGTGGGCGGCGTGGATTCCCCATCCTAGACCCCTTTGTCTCCATTCATTTGATGTTTCCCTTTTTTCTCTTCTTCTGCGATCCCTGCCCTGTCAAGGGTAGAGGAGAAGGCGGTGGGGATCAGAAATCATGAGCACCCGTAGTGTGCAAGCCAGGAGCTGGGCCATTCAAACATGTGATCTCATTTCGCATTGGAAGTAGTCTGATGAGGTTGCTAGTTTTAACCCCCTCTGCGATGAGAAGACCGAAGCCTCAAAGCCATGAAATAAATTCCCGAAGGTCCATTGGCTCGTAAGGACAAAACCAGTCTTCCCACCTTCCTGTCCTTCCCTGCCCGTCACTGACCCGCTGTGTCATGAGGCCGCTACAAACAAGCCACCACGGGCTTAGGAGTGTAAAACAACGTAAATTTACTATCTTACAGCTCTGGAGATCAGCGGTCCAGGACGGGTTTCATGGGCTAACATCGAAGTGTGGGCAAGCTGTATTTCTTTCTGTAGTCTCTAGGAGAGCATCCATTTTCTTGCCTTTTACGCTTGTTAGAAGTTGCCCACATTCTTTGGCTCGGGGCCCTTCCTCCACCTTCAGAGTCAGCAACAGTTGGTCACATCCTTGTCGTGCATCCCTCTGGCTGTTGCATCTGCCCCTACTCTTCCTTTGAGGACCTTGTGATTACTTTGGGCCCGCCTGGATGTTCCAGGAAAATCTCCCCATCTTGGGCTCAAGTGATCAGCAACGTTTATTTCAGATGCAACCTTCATTCTCCCTTGGCACGCGACATCACATCGCAGGTGCTGAGGATTGGGATGTGGCCATCTTTGGACAGGGATGGGGGGAGCGTGATTTCTGTCTACCACACCCTTTTCCCTCCAGACTTCCTTGGTAGGTGCCTTCATGAGGCAGTACCTCCTGCTGTCTTCGTCAAAGCTCCAGGGAGAGCTTTATCCCCCTTCCAGGCTCCAGCTCCTCTGAGGAAGTGGCTGCTGCTATGGGAAAGGGGTAAGGGCATATTGGAGGGGGGCGTGCTAGTTTCCCCACTGCTGCTCTCCCACGTCTGGGGCTGCCTCTAAAGTTACAGACCCACGGTGACGGGAAAAGGGTGCACGATGTCTGTTCATTACTCATTTAGCTACTCATTGACTCAATAAGCATTTAACGAATGCCCGCGGCATGCCCGGGACCCGGCTCCCCGAGCCCCAGGGACTAAGATTTGCCTATGGCCTTCTTCAAAGACACTGAGCTGAATTTTTGGTCTTGAGTAAGATCACGGTGCATTCTTGTGGGTGCTGCTCCTCTGGGAAGAAAGAGGCGGATGAAGGAGGAAGGCGTGTGTCAAAGACTTGGGAGCTGCTCTGTGTCTCCCATTCGGGTTCGCATAAAACACCTGAGTAGGTGGTTTGAACAAACTTAGCAAAGCAATGGCAGGTTTTCAGGGTCCTCAGTCCTCCCTTTGGCACTCTGTGCCCTCCAGAATTGAAATGTTTATCCAGCTCATAGAACTGGATGTCTGAGCTGTGATGCGTTGCATGAAGGCTTTGGAGACCAGCGTGATGCATTAATGCCTTTAGTAGGAGAGTAATTGCTGCAAATGCCTTTCCGTGTACCTCGACGGGACAGGTGAGCAGTCCGATGACCCTAAGACTCTCACTGCTGTTTGCTGTGCTTTTTTCCCTTGTTTCAGGGCTTCTCACGATGCCTTGCTCCAACTATCGTAAATGTCTGTGATTTGCTTGTGAGTTGAACTCTGATTTCCCCCCACCTTTCTTGAGTCCCTGAAAATGCCAGTGGTTCTTTCCCCCGATTTATTTAGCACACTCATGGAGTACTGTCTTTAAAACAAAAACAAACCAACAAACAAAAAAACCACTGAATGTATTTTCAAATACCAAGGAAATCAGGAGAGGAATTTAAGGGGAGGGAAGGAAGATGTTGGTATCTCTGGCAAAATAAATGGATCCAGACTAACCTCTTAAGCTTTTGCAGTACAATTAGAAATCAGGTATCTCCTGTAGTTACTTTTTTTTTTTTTTAACGTGGTCTTTTACTCTGAGAGGATGTCTTCTCTCTCCCCAGTGGCAGTCTGTTCATATTTTTAAGAAGAATCATGAACTCTTTAAGAATCTAAATAAAAGCTGGGGTGCCTGGGTGGTGCAGATAGTTAAGCATTGGACTCTTGATTCTGCTTAGGTCGTGATCTCAGGGTCGTGAGATGGAGCCCCAAGTTGGGCTCCACGCTCAGCCGGGAGTCTGCTTGAGAGTCTCTCTGCCCCTCCCCGCCCCGATCTCACACACTGTCTCTCAAATAAATAAATCTTTAAAAAAAAAAGAATCTGATAAAGACTATGAGCATGAAGGTTCTCATCATTTCAGAATATATATGTACACATGGCCACAAAAATTGCATACAATTATGAGGATTTATAAACAACCTAAAGTCCTCCCATGAGTCCCACGTTAAGAGTACCTGCTATAAAGTTTATTCTACTATATCCTGCATAAATCAAGAGCTCTTCTCGGCCCAGTCTTGTGTTGCAGTCAAAGAAACACAATTCCACAACCAAAAGAAATTTAAAATACAGGCATACCTTATTTTATCGCACTTGACTTTATTGAATGTCATAGATAACTGTGTTTTTTTACAAATTTAAGATTTCTGGCAACCCTGGGTTGAGCAAATCTATAGGCGCCATTTTTTTTTCCCAACAGAAT